TTTTTATTTATTTTAAATAAATATAAACAATTTAAAAAAAATAAAAGAAAAATAAAATAATATAAATTTTTACATATAAATATTTATAATTTTGGTTTATATATATAAAAATAATTTTTTAATTATATTATTAAGCGGGGCAGGGCGGGGGCGGGTATGGGGACGAGGACGGGGTGGGTATTAACATCCCCGCCCCCGTCCCCGATTTTATCAATCGGGGAAAATCCGAACCCGGACCCGATAAACACGGGTTTTCCCATCCAAATCGGGACGGGTTCGAGCGGGTACCCACGTGAGCGGGTTAGATTGCCATGCCTACCAGCAAACTTCATGGACAATGATTTTTTTTAAAAAGAAATTGTATAACTATATGTTTTAATTTTCAAGTCTGATATATTAAGTTTGCAGAGTTGACTGTTAGTCTCGTAGAAACGGCCTGATCTAATTTCAGGACAGGTTGACATCTTCTGTTGTCTAGAAAGCTTCAGATTACTAGAATACCAATACCTTCCAACTTCTATTCCTTAGTTTGCTTTGTTTCCAGGCTTACCTTAATTAGTTGTTTATCGCTTTTCTAGAATTTTTTTAGCCTCTTCTGTTTGGATTTTGCAGAAATAATTTGCTTTTCTTTGTGTTCAAATAATTTATTCTAGTTGAAGACGCATAATAGTTAAGGGTTGTTTAATACGTCCATTTTTTGCTTTCATTTTCAATGAAAATGAAAAATAATGATGAAAAAAATACTTATTTAATATTTAGAAAATATATTCTATGAGAACATTTTCAAAATGAAAATGAAAATTAAAAAAATATCATTTCAATATTTTTCTACAAAATGAAAATGAGATGACATAAAACAATATCTTTTTTTTTCCTGAATCTCACCATTTCATCGTCGATCTATTTTTTAATAATAGTGACAATAATAATAATATAATCGTAACATTGATCGTGATGATAATAATAACAATAATGATAATAGTGTTAATTTCGATGATAACACCACCATCATCACTACCATTGTTGTCAACATTAACATTTACTACCACCACAATTAAGATATTTTTTATTTTTTGAAAACAGAAAATAAGTTCTCAAAACAAGCATACTTTTAAGTATTATAATTTTGAAAATGAAAACTATTTTTAGAAAATAGAAAATAAAAATAAAAAAAATTCTTAAACAATACATCCCTTATATATTTGTGAGAGTTAATCACCTATACATTGTCAGTGTAAAGTTTTTTTACACTGGCAACCAATTATATCTTCTAATTGTGTCATTTCACTGTTAAAAGTAAATGTGTTTAAAGTAACATGACATAATTAAAAATATAATTAGTTGTCAGTGTAAAAAAACTTTACACTCGTAGTGTATAGGTGATTAACTCCTTTTGTGAATATTTTTTTTTCCAAATCTTTGTGGGATCTTAAGGGGGGTGTATTGGATTAGGATTTTAAAGGACTTTTTAATTTTTTTTTAAGGTTGTCTATGAGATAATATAGGCAACAATTTAGACTCAAATTTAAGCTATAATTTTGTAAACGTTGTCTAAATAAACGTGCAACGATTATTTTTATATTGACTTATAATATTGGTAATAACACACCATTATTTAATCAATAATCTTCACCATATACTACTTTTAAATGGTTATGAATGTAATATATATATATATATATATATATATATA